GCGGTTCCACCCGCAGGGGGCGCGCGTCGGCCTTGGCGAGTGTCTCGACATGCTGACGTCGAAGGCCGCCAGGCAGTGCCCACTCCGATCCAATCGCCAGTGAGGGAGAAGGTGCCGAGACCGCTTTGCAGTGGGGGCCCATGCCAGGAAACACCCTGCTTGCCTCCAGGGTGCCCTGGGTTTCTCGGGTTTCGGTAGTTCTGCGATGGGAAGCGTGACGATCCCACACCAAAACTCGATGGACGTCCTGGGGTCTCAAGGTTGGGTTTCTTGTGGAGGGTTTCTTGTGGACTGGCCTCCACTGTACCCTTCCCTCGTTTAGGCCTTTCTGGGGCCTCCTGGGGGGTCCTCGTCGCCACCGCTGGCTTCGCCTCGCAAGTCTGGTCAGATCGCAGGGTGGGAGAGGTCTGGGGAGTAGCAGTACCGGTATTTTGGAGTTTCCCCAGATCGATCCCATTTGATTATATACATTGTTTTCACATTTATATATATATATATATATATATGTACAAGTCAGTTTGTATATTTCTACATATATGCTTATGTATATATATACATATCTATGTATATATATATAGAGGTATACGCATATGTTTAATATTGTATATTTATATCTAGATTCACACAGATTTCAATAGGCTCGGTCACATTCAATTGCTCCACCTTCGGGCGGTATGGTAACAAAGGCCCGATGTTTGCACGATTCAGTCGTGCATCCTGGCGCGGCCGGCTCGCTTGCGTCCCCTGTCCCGTGTCGACGCAGCCCATTTCCGATGTAGGCTCCTATCCGATCCGATGCAGCGATTCGATGTTGACTGCCCCTATGCAGGAGACAGTTTCTAAATCTCTTGGGGATGACGAGCGTGGCTGGTCACCAGCGCTACCGCGAATGGTGCTTATAGAAACTGACGGGCTGCAGGCCGCTGCTGCGAGCGATGAGGGTCTCGCAGCCCACGTCCCCCGCCGCCGTGGCGGCGGCGTACGACATAGATGGCAAGGGCTTCGTTACGGTGGAGGATCGGCATCACCCAAACATGGCCTCCTGGTGGTGGCGCGCGCGCTCAGACTGCAAACGTGCGCCTCCAACCCAGACCCCCGACGTCACGATCTCTTCATGACGTGGACCCCAGGAGGTCTCGACCCATTCCCCAGCGCCAGGTTTTTCATCTCGAGTCGTGCGTTGACGGTCCTGCACCAGGCACGTTCCACTATTCGCAAAGTGCTTACTCGCAAACGTCCGAAACAACAACATGTCTTTCTCTATAGAATGTATCATACAAGCCTCGCCGCGGATCCAGGCCATTTGCAAGTAGCAACTTTGCGAGTAGTGGAACGCGCTTGTCCAATCCTGGCCTGGGGCCCGGCGAGGGCCCCCGGAGGTTGAACATCGAAAGTAACGTGATTTGTTGATGACCCGAGGGGGTTTTAGCCTGAGGTTCCTTCCCTCCATGGCGAGGGAGGGAGGAAGAGGAGGAGGGGGAGTGAGCAGAGGCGGGGGGAGAGGAGGAGGAGGAGCAGGAGGAGGAGGAGGAGGAGGAGGAGGAGGAGGAGGAGGAGGAAGGTGGAGGATGAGGTGGATGTGAAGAGGAGGAGGATGAGGAGGAGGAGGAGGAGAGGAGGAGGAGGAGGTAAGGAGGAGGAAGAGGGAGGAGGAACATCTTCTCTGGCTTCCACGCGAGAGGCTGGAGGAGGAGGGGAGGAGGAGGAGGCGAGGACGAGGAGAAGGAGGAGGAGGAGGAGGGGAATGAGAAGGAGAAGGCGGAAGAGGAGAAAGAGTAGGGAGCTTGGGAGCCCGACCCATCCCGGAGGAGGTGAGAGGCTGCAGAGGAGGATGATGCAGGAGAGGAGGAGGAGGAGGAGGAGGAGGAGGAGGAGGAGGAGGAGGAGGAGAGGAGGAGGAGGAGGAGGATAGGAGGAGGAGGAGGAGGAGGAGAGAGCCCACCCTTCCTCCCGGCGAGAGGAGGGTAGGAGGAGGAGGAGGAGGAGGAGGAGGAGGAGGGGAAGGAGAAGGAGGAGAGGAGGAGGAGGAGGAAAAGGGAGCCCGGGAGCTCCCCCCCCCCCTCCCTTTCACGGCGAGAGGAGGAGGAGGAGGAGGAAGCGGAGGAGGAGAGAGGAGAGGAGGAGGAAGAGGATTAAGCCCCCCCCTCCTCGCGTCCTAGTGCCAATATGTCGTTCTGCGTCCTGGAGGACTGGGTCGGCGGCACCCTCCGGCTCAGGGACACGTCGGCCTCCGGATGCTCCCGCGCCCTGCAGGAGCACACTTTGCGGGGCAGCGTCGCGCTGGCCTCCGCCGCGCGGGAGGCAGAGCACGAGCTGGAGCTCGTCTCTGCTCCTTATCCTCCTCCTCCTCCTCCTCCTCCTCTTCCTCCTCCTCTTCCTCCCTCGCCGTGGAGGAAGGGTGGGGCTCCCTCCTCCTTCTCCTCCTCCTCCTCCTCATTTCCCCCCACCTCTGCTCACTCCCCCTCCTCCTTCCTCGCCGTGGAGGGAGGGGTTGGCTGGG